AGGTAAGCACACAAGCAGAAACCAAAAGAAATAATCAATCTTAGGGGCACATAATTTGGTTTATAGTTTTTAAGTTTCAGTTAATGAATTCCAAGATGTCTTATTTTAATAAAACACCAAAGAGGTAAGAGATTAACTATGTAGTCATGTTTCTTTCCTTCCAGATTGCCTAAATATATAATATCATATATAATACACAATAAAATATATATAATATATACAACAATATACTATATAACACATTGCCTAAGTTGGGGAAGGATTGCATATGACAATTTCTGAAATAAGAGACCTTCAAGTTGAGTTGTGCTGAAGATGTGGGACAGAAGTTTTAAAACAAAAACTGAAGGAGGAAATTTCAGGAATGTCATAATTTCTCAGGAGGAGCTAGGCCTAATTTAGGTCATAAGATTAAAAAATATTTCATATTGTAAAATTCTGTCTTCTACTGATTCTCACATATGATCAATTTTCCCCAGATAACAGCTAAAACTATGTGGCCAAGCCTCAGATTTCTGTTATTAGATATGATAGAATGTGAAAGAAACTGGGAGAGAGAACAATGTTAATATCAAGAGATGAATGAAGGAAACTGGGAGCCATGAGTCAAATTAAATATTTTTGTACATCTTAGTAAATTTTTGTATGAGGTTAAAACCAAGTCTAGAACTCAGCCTGCCAATACTCTCAGACTACTTGCTTCTCTTACACGCCAGAATGCAAGAAAGCAAAACAGTATTAGGACCAGACAGTTGGACTATAGATATTCTCTCCTCTTCCTGTACGTCTGATCTTTGTATTCCAGAGCTTTAATTCATGACTTGCTCTTTTGTCCATGTAACAAGAGTAAGAACAACTTCCAAAAAGCAAGGTGAGTACCTTCCAATTTGCCAGGCAAGTGGGCAATTTCCATTTTATGAACTGGGACTAAATGAAAAGAGTGCAGAATTGTAATATAATAAAACTGAAAACTTATCTAGCAGATATGTAATATAAGGCAATATATTTATCAAATATAAAGAGCAAGTAGTTTATTTATATGACTATAATTAGTATTACCTTTAATAGTCAAGCTAAGCGTTTTTTTGGTTCAGCTGAAAAGAAGGAAATGAACTGAATACAATGGGAAGATGCTGCGAGCGTGGTCTAGTAATACCTAGATCTGCTACCACTGGGACGAAGGAAATGGGGGGAGACATGGGAAAACCCAAGCTGCTGAGCTCCACTTGCGCCTCACTCTGCTTGTTACCTAGAGGACAAGGATGAGGCTGGGGCTAACATGGACCAATCACAGGCAGTCCAGGGTTAGGCACGTGGGGGTAAAGGAAAAGATGATGGCAGAAGGGGAAATAGTCTCTGCAGTAGAAGGGATCTTAGTACCTGTTCCACTGCTTTCTTAATACCAAATACAGGAATGCCTTACCCTGGAGACCACTTATCAAAGTGGCCTCAATTTTTTAACTCAAACCCTCCTTTATTTGCCCTAAAGAATATCTGCATAACCCTTTATCACCACTCCCCTAAAAAGTCACTCCTACTAATGGGAAAGTAACCTACCCACTCTTACTAATGTGATAAATAATGGTTAAAACCACTGGACTAAATATTTCCTCAAGTTCTTTTCTCCTTTAACATCTATGATTCAGGGCTACTGGTTAGCTCAGTTCGTTAGAGTGGGATGCTGATAACACCAGGATTTGATTCCTGTACCGACCAGCTACCAAAAGAAAAGCCTATGATTCCACATGCAGGAAAGCCCGAATGCCTCTGTGATCCAGAGTTACAGAAGCAGAGTGCTGAGAATATGTTCTGCTTTGCCTGGCTGCCTCCTATCATTTTCCCAGAGGGAAGGAAGTGACTCGTGTCACATGTACGCCTTCTCTTCTGTCAGGAGGTGACTGAACAGTGTGACTTAAAAGGAAAGCATTCTGCTCTGCACATCTTCTCATATTGCCAAAAATTCCAGCATTCATTTGAACTTTGAAACAACAGGCAAAACATGCTGAGAAAAAACATTAAGGGTGGGAGAGTGATTACGTGTACTGTTGTAAATAAAGAAGCTCTAACTTTAACAGATTTGTATGGGAGGAGAAAAGTAGGAAGAGAGAAGCGGGAGGTAAGGTTGAGGACAAGAGGCACTGGGGGAAAAGCTCTGACAGACCAGAGGGCAGCACTAGGACACTGGGCTCCCGGGGGCATAGAGAGAAGACTGACACTAAAGGAAACTTGACTTCTGCGATTTTGCTTAATACTAGTCTTATTCCCTCCCATACCTTCAAGTTCCAGCTGCAATTCAAATTTCAGGTCTTCAAGAGAGGGTTAGCAAAAAATTGATAAAGGGCCACAAAAAAATTATTATATTGTGTAATGGTGAATATACCAATTATCCTGATTTGAGCAACACATATTGCACACAGGTACTGATATTCAACACGGCACCCCACAGATATGTACAATCGATGTTTCAATTGAAAAAATTAAAAATAAAATAAATAAAACAAATTTTAGTTCCTTAACATAATCTTTTCTATAGCAATGAGATAGAAAACAGAAAAGAATGACCAGAAAGATGTATATTATAGGTTAAACATTAGAGCCTACTTACTATAGAGAGCAGTCACATATTATAAGTATCATATACAACAATGTAAGTAGATTCAGCACAAAGATCAAGATTTGATTTGTTCCTCAAGAACCCAAATGCCTAATAGAAAAAGAGCAATAGAATTTGAGTTTTATACCAAATATCTTGGATACTAAACCCAAGCATGCCAAAGATTGAATACCATCGTTCAAAATATTTCATTATGACTTTGAGGATAAAAAGAATTAATGGTAACTCTGGGAAGGATCACAGTTGTGAACAAGAAACAAGAGAAAGGAGGTATTTGACATAAAATATAAATTAAGAACATAAAATATTTAAAATGGAAGCTTACTGCTGGCCTTTCCCCAACAGATAAAAATCATTTTCCAATGGCAATGTGATTTGACAATTCCGAAGAAAAGTACGGTGATTCAATGTGGGCAGAAGGCTGAGTGGTGAAGAGCTAAGACAGCACTTAAGTGAAATGAAACTGATGGCCAAGAAAGGAAGCTAAAGAGAATACAGGAAAGGAGGGGAGCCGGACTATTAAGATTAAGGAAATAATGACCAGTATTATTGAGGGCATTACATACACTGTTTCTTTTAAATCTTCAAACAACCTATGAGATTACCACTATTGTTATTCTTATTATCAGATGAGCAAACTGGGGCATAGAAAGGTTATACAACTTCCTTTAAACTATACATCTAGAAAGAGATAAAGGCAGGATTTCAGCCAGCTTATGCGCTTAACCAGTGAATTGGGAGAATGGAGCTTAGAAAGCAAATGAGGGGGGAATCATGCCTTTTAAGAGCTGGAGTATGAGTCGTAAAGGTTCCGTGGCTCTTGTGAACTCAACTTCTTTTTATGGTAGTTCCTTTGTACTGCTATAAATTTTAGTTGCATGTTTGAACAGAGCTTATGTTGCATAACAGTGGGTAAAGGATGAGAGAGGATACTCCTGGAGGAAAAGTAATAGTGGGAAGAGGCTGTGACTGAGCACTCTGCCATTACCAGTCAGGTGGTGGCAGGGGCAGAGGGCATGTATAAGAAGAAGCAAGCCAGGACCTCGCTGAGGTGTGCATTCATTCCTGCAGGACCTTCTTCTGGAAAGAGCTCATTTAGTTTGTCAAAATTCATACTGCTACTATATTTTACAATTAAATTATTTTTTGTAGAAGGCAAAGGGATGAAGACAAGAGTTTGTCAGAAAAAAAAATGAAAAGGTTTTTCAGTGGAAAAAAACAGCTAAAATAATTTGCTCAAACTTTCTTCCTATTCCAAGGTGGATGATGTATGTATGGAAATAGCATATGGAGTATTTGCATATACTGAACAGCAGATTATGACATGCAATACCACTGTACATTTTATTACACTATAGAATTAACCAGAATAATTTTTTATCTCAAGAATAATAAAACTTTCCCTTTAGAATGGAAATGCATACACTCTGGTATAAATATTCCAAACATACAAAAATCATTTTTTTTGTTCAATAATTTTAAAAAACCCAGATCAAGAAGTTCCTTTAGTGGAAAATTATGCTAAATATTTTTTACAAAAAAAGGAATAAAAGCATTTTAAAACTTCCCCTGTTTTAAAAACAGTTCTATGCAAAATGTTTGCATTTGAACTCATTTTATTTCCCCGCTTCTGGAAAGACTGAATGTTCAACATTTTATTGTCATAAAATGCTTTATGACAAGAATTACTGTCTCATTTAATATGAAGTAGAGAAAATGTATATGCCAGGCTGTAAAGGGAATGAATGATACACATTTAATAGAAATTTCTTATTTATCAAATCTATAGGATTCAGGAGAGAAAATGATAATGCAGTCAATTTATCGTGCATATACTGCACGTTAACTAAAATCACTTTCCACATTAGAAGAGAAATTCTGTCAGCATTAAAAATTGATTTGTACTGTTATTGTGCTACGATAGTCTATTGGAGAATTTAGTAAAAAATGTCACTTTTTCTGATTATACCAGAGGTTTATTTTTAACCATCAGAGAAATTAAACTGTAAAGTGCTGAAAAGAATTGGGAAAAGTAAAATAGAAATCAATATAAAAAATAAAAACAAGCAATTATTCATATATATAGTGACAATAATTAAATAAGCATTCTTATTAATTTTAATTTATTAAAGTCTTTAGAATTTTTGCGCAGAATGGAAATATAGAGATTCACCAATGCGTAAAGCATTTTTCTTTTTACTTTATTATGTTTAATCATCATAAACCCTTTATTGTATTTAAGATAAAAAAGAAGCATATTTTGGCCCACATATAAACTTTCAAGTGTGATTATTTCCAAAACTGACTGCATTACTGCAAATTCTTCAAATCAATTCACTGATCTCTTTTACTGAAGGATGCATTGGTTTGAAAATCAAAGACTTACGTCATCCAAAAAATCAATCAGTGAAGATGAGGAAGAAGAAAAGGAATCCTATTTAACGAATACAGCAATAAAAAAAATAGAAAATATGGATGAAGCAATTTAATAAGAACAAATAATAAATCAAAAATTTTGTAAAACAATTGAAAGGCAAATGACATTAATTCAAATAAATAAATGAGAAAAGCAGTCACTGTCATTGTTCTAAGGAAACTCAGAGATTCATTAATTACTTTTTGAAGAGTGATTCTTTTTCCCTTTACCAAAGGAATGAAATATAGTTCATATACTGTGCCCAAAATGTAATAAAATGAAGCTTATGACAAATCATTAATAATCAACTTAAAGGTAAGCACTTTAGAAGGTAACAACTAAAACTAAGCACAGAATCTCTGCTTCTAATTCTTCCCCCTAAAATGTAAGCTCTCTGAGGGAGGGACTTTGTCTAGTTTGGTCAGTACTATATTTCTAGCACTTAGAACAGTGCCTTACACATAGATACAGGATTATTATTTGATAAATACAGATATAATTACCAACTTAAATTTTCTGAGACAAAAATATACTTTATAACATGAAATTGATTTTTTTCAGCAAAGAATTTAAATACCAAGGAATGACAAACAGATAATCAACATTTCATTATTGTGAAATCTGCCTAACAGAGTCTACGTAATACATTTAACATTCCTTATTGCAAACTTAAAAAAAAAAAAAAAAAAACTGATTTGGAATGAGAACCAGCAATACCCTATTGTGAGCTTCAACGTTTTTAGTGGTTTTTATTGTGGTTCTATGCTTTGGAGAAAAAAAAAAAGTGTAGAAATTATTTCAAAAATTGGGATTTGTTTTGCTCTTACTGTTTCTTAGGGGAGATGAAATTGCTTTTAAATCTTATATTGACTTTCATGTTTAAACCTTTCTTAGATGTTTTGTTAAATACAAATGTGTTGTTATAGTTTCCATAAGAACTCAGAACATGTTTATGTTTATATAAGATTCTAGATCTTCTTACGTGAGATGCAATAAAACAGTTTTATTGCAAGTGAATTTTAAATCACAAAGTGAACTTTAAATTAACCACAGGGGATATCTGAAAAGTTTAATACTTACTTCAAATTGATCCAGAGCATCGGTAGGCGTATTCAAAAATGCCAAGAAAGAGTGCTGTGAGTCTTGGTGCTCTATACCTAGAAGACAGCAGCAACTTTTTTTTAACTAGAACAATTAAAACTAATTTTCACGGGTAACCTTTCCTATCTGAGTCTATTAAGTGCTGTTCACTAACTACTATACTTCGAAGCTAGTCAATATTAATTCCACATATTTAAAAAAAACATACATGAGTGGTTCCTAGAAAATCACTTAAATTTTATCAGTTTCTATAAAATACTTGTTTCTTGGGCCGAGCCCGTGGCGCACTCGGGAGAGTGCAGCGCTGGGAGCGCAGCAGCGCTTCCACCACAGATTCAGATCCTATATAGGGATGACCGGTACGCTCACTGGCTGAGCGCGGTGCGGCTGGTCTCAAAAATGACAAAAAAAAAATACTTGTTTCTTGAGTTACTTGATTTATTGAGTTTCTTCCTTTTTCCATATAACACATAATAAAAAAACACATTAAATCTTTTGGTAGACTTGAGAGAATTTTAAAAATAGGGGCCCATTTATGTGTAATTTTTCTAAGCTAATTTATCACTATTTTGAAATACTATATTTTGGGCCGGTCCGGTGGCGCACTGCTACAGTGCCCCGCTTGGGAGCGCGGAGGCGCTCCCGCCGAGGGTTCGGATCCCACATACAGACCGGTTCCCGCCCACCGGCCGAGCGAGGGGCGGGCGCAGCAAAAAAAAAACACAAAAAAAAAAAAAAAAAAAAAAAAAAA